AAAAACTATATATATATATATATATATATATATATATATATATATATATATATATATATATATATATAAGAAAATAATATTTCTTTTCAAAATCTTTCATAATATTTAATTAGTTAAGTAGTTTCTAAATTGTAATGGGTTTATTTTTTTTAGATTTTTGTCCCATTAGTATTTATATTAGATAAATATAAGAATGAATTCAAACGGTATTCCAATGAGAGTGATCCTGAGGGTATGAGGATCACGAGGGTATGAGGACTAAGAAATATATCAAATAAATCAAAATTGTTTATATTAGCAAAATGCACCTTTCTTTTCAATGGCTCAATTATAGACAACTCTAAAATTAAGCATGATTTATTTGAAGGGACTCGTTTTGATATGTGGGGATAGTCGATACTCTTAGAAGAGAAAAATTAGTAGTATAACCATGTCGTAAGAGAATGTCAGAGACATTAGCGGCTGAATTTAAATTTTGAATCCTAGACATGGGATGTTAAAGATCCCTCTTCTTAATTCAATCAATCTCAAAATAAAACTATTAAGTGGTAAGTAAACATTAATTTTTTCACAAGATTTGTTACGAAAAAAGAAATTGTGAATATTATTTTCTAAAGCTTGATTGCTACACACATCTAATATTTTCTAAAGAGTAAATATTGGTCTTTTCATATGAAATCTCAACAAAATTTCTCGTTCTTGGGATTAAATTCTAGGGAAAAAGTCTAAACATTGATTCAAATTCTCAATATTAGAATTTTTTTATTTTTTATTTTTTAAAGATTGCAATTCTATAGAATGATTCTTTAAAGAATTAATTTCACCAAGTATAACATATTCTTTTACTTGAAAGCTATAAAGAAGATTGATATTGCCCCTGCCAATGATAGTTGTTAGGTCTCGAAAAAAATCAACTAAATCTACCCTTATGACATGATTGAAGTCGGATCTACTAATTTGAAAAGAGATAAAATGATATACTTGTCTTTTCATAAAAAAAAAAAAAAAAAAAAAAAAAAAAAAAAAAAAAAAAAAAAAAAAAA